TTTTTTTTTTTTTTTTTTTTTTTTTCTGTTAGCTGTAGTTACTGAAAAGTGGAAAATATCATACATGTACACATCAGATTTCTTCTCCCTACACTAGCAGCCAGTTTTACCAAAAAATTCATTTGCCTACATTTCCCAAAGACGAACAAAAAAATGAATGAATGGATATTTAAGAAAAAGCATACAGAACCCAAGGTTTTCATCTAGACAAAAGGAAGGAACTAAAGAGAAGAAAGTTTTACAAACTTAATGTTATCACTAATAGAAAAAAAAAAAAAAAAAAGCAAAAAAAATTCATTTCCAAAAATGGCTTAATGGTTATGCAACTACGGCAAACACCACTTTTTTTATACTTTCAATTACTATTACTTTTGATACCTTCTCCTGTTGCAAAGGAACCTAAATTTTAAACTGACCAGAAGTTTTACAAAATTTTTAATCCTAAAATCATATTCAGTTACACATGAATATCGTCAATTAAAGATGATTCATTATAACAAAAATATAAAGGAAAAAGCTGCAATTGTAACTATATACTGTAAAAGGCCAAATCATTTTTTTAAAGATCTCTTGCAACGTCGCTTTCTGTATTTACAACTAATGTTTCAAAAAAGTTTAAAACCACTTTAATATTGCTAAGTTGCTGAAATCCTAAACCAAACTTATGTTTCTACGTACTTATAAATCAGCAGACATTTATGATGAATGATAATAAAAACGGCATCAGAAATGTAATATATCAATGTGGTGTCAAAAATATCATTTAAATTGACGCTTTCAAAATATCACCGGCAATACCCAACAAAGTAAAGCTAAGTACGCATATTCAAATTATTGACACCTAACAACGCGACATTTCTTTCCCTTTTCTTTCTCATTTTCTATAAAATATGACCAAATTTAATTGAAGGAAAAAGCTCATTTCCTAATGCCTCCTACAAATATGCTAGATCAAGTATCTGATCACCATTAAAGATTGTCAAATAATCCGTTTTGATTATCCAATCAGCGCCTTTTAATGGTCAAAAACACTATTTAACAACCATTGTAATGATCCTGAATTGCCCATTAACGTGGGCATTTTTTTTTTACAAAGTCATTTCAAGGTTTTTTAACTTTGCTATTTGA